CTCCTTTCCCCCCTTCCCTCCCCTTTTCCAACAGCTTTCCCCTTCTCCCCACGTTTTTTTTTTTTTTTTTCTCCATCTTTTGCAGTACTTTCCTTTAAGCTAACTTTTTCTTGATGTGCTGTTTCAAAGCTGTTACTTGGATAATGCCATCCAGCTGAAGACTGTGGTTTCTAACTTGCACCTCAATTTTGTTTTTCTTTTTTACACATCCTGTTGATGCCGCGATGCTTGGCTGCCACTGTTCCTTATTTTGTCTCTTTTTTGGTAAAACTCTGTTAATAAAGTAATTTTAAAATATAAAAGAAAGAGATGGTCAAACAGTAAAAAAAAAAACCCAGTAAAAAGCCAATGCTAGGCTTTCTAATTAGAAAGCCCAGATTTGCAATCTATGTGGTATAGATGTACCCTCTATTGGATGTTTATTTATATAATCTTTATTTTATTAATAAGTAATGTTAAAGATATAAAATTGATATAGAAACTTTTGAAATGAAAAAATATTAACATTGACCAAATAGCTTACCTTTTAAGGCATGAAATACATATAATGAATGCCTTCTGCTTGCACAGGGCTCTTTTTATTTATCCAGGTAGCGCTTTTGTGATTTAGGGGTTTCAGGATTACATTTGTGTATGCCATTTGAAAATCCACTGGATATTTGCAAGTCTGTACATTGTAGTCTTCATACTTTAGAGGTGCATAGGTTTTGGCATTATGCTTGTAACATCGTCCCCTGGCAAGCACTGATCTCATCTTGGTTCCAGACACTCAACCTTCCCATCTCCTTGATCACCCCCTTACAAACATATTCTCCCTACTGTATTTTCCCTTTTTAATTAGGCTGGACACTGCTCATTTCCCAACCAGACATCATTTTGAGAAAGAGAGTGCATGGGAGCTGCCTGGAACTGCTGAAGTAAATTGAGTGTATTTTTTGCCCATAGAAGGGTCAAACAAGCATGCATGATCCAACTCACCATGTCTTTAGGGGCAGTGTCACCCCTAAACATGAACGATTCAAACACACAGTCTTTTTAAAGGAGAACTATGAGGTGAGTGATTTTCACTCACCTCATAGTTCTAGCCGACCTGTGACAATGAGACTGTCACAGGTCGGCTCAGTAGATCGGGAGGTGAGCGAACACATACCGGCGTTTGCTCACCTCTCGATCCTGTCACAGCCCTCTGCCGTGACAGGGGAGGGGCTGGATTCCATCCTCCCTGCTCCGATCCGCCATCGCTGACTGGCGGATCGGACAGGGGAGGGGGCGGGTACAGCTGGCTCTGCCTCTAGATAGGCAGAGCCAGCTGTCACTCACGCAGCTGGGCGGATCCAGACATAATTGTCGAGATCCGCTTCAGCTGCGGCGTCTCAGTATACCGCGAGCTGCAGCTCGTGGTATACTGAGCCTAGGGTGATGGGAGGACGCTAGTTTGTGTCCTCCCGTTACCCTAAGGAGAACTATGGGGAAAAGCCTTAACCCCATTGTTCTCCTTTAAGGCCAATGGAGCAGGGTGTGGTAGCCAGTTGCAGGCAGTCTATTTAAAGATCATAACACAAAACAGAATGAGAGGTTCTTTTTCGTTATACATATGATGTGCCTAATGTGTTTGTGTTCTAATTAAAGGTGAGAACATGAGATGAGTATGTGTATTCAGTCACACCTTTTTAATTACAGTCATAATAGTTAGGGACTTTTACACTCCTTATACAGGGGTAGCAGTAAATATCACCTTCCTGAACATTTCAGCTATGACATTCTGAGCAGGAAGAAGGGTCACTTATAGCTCCCATTTTTATTTTGTAATTTTGCTACATATGGATGATTACTGGGACCCTATAAACAGATTGGGGTCTATTTATAAATAATTTGCAGAGCCATTCACCCTGCAAATGTCTGTGACTGCTCGTTTTGTGCGAAGGTTCTTAGTATATCTTTTTTTTTCAGGTTGAATGTAATGTTAAGTAAATACCACATTATGGCTACTAGATGGAGCTGAGCAGCATAGAAAATACTTCTTTATTTCCTGTGCTCAGCTCTACCTATGTGTCATAATGCAGTATAGAAGAAAATTACATTCAACCTGAAAAGAAAATATACTATGAACAGTGATTTCTACCTCTAACGAACACTCACAGAGATTTGCGCAGGGGAATAGCTCTGCAAAGTGTTCCTGTTTTAGGATTGCAAGTTTCATGTATTCCTATAGAGAATTCTGTAAAGGGTAACTGGCATGGAAATGTTTCAAGCAAAACAATATTCTTTTATTAACAAGCAAAGGACAAAAGTAGGAGATTCCACAAAAGCAGGGCACCCAGGACTCAACTAGTCTAAAAAGATCTGCCATTGATTGGGGTTACAAGTTATCATTACGCGGCATTGCATTAACATATCTGAGATTTGTAGTTATAGTTATGTGTCTTTTTATTTTGTATACTTTGCTAACTGGTGTGGTTATGTTCAACAAAAGTGTACTAATATTTTCTATTTCAAAAAGTTAGAAAGTATTTTTCTAGTTGTGCTGCTATAGGTAGTGTATGGTTCATGTAAATTATACTATATGGCCTTACATTCTCTGAAAGGGCTATGCGTCTTACTCTTAGCTGTCAAAAAATAAGTCACCAGCACGCGTTAATGAATCTTTATCTAAAAATGAATTTCATTTTTCTATTCTTAAATGATTATCAAGTGGAGGCTTATTGACAAAGCCTTGGACCGCAAGGTGCCTGGAAAGGGAAGGGCTGGGAGCTTTGATCTGGTTTGCTCACATACAGAAATCGTTGTGGTTATATTCTGCAGGTTAAGAGATGTTTGGGCACTGGAGAGGGATCATTCAACTTTGAAAGCAGAGATACTGCTACACTCTGAGGGGGATGAGGAATCTTTTGTACTGTAGGATGAAGAGGTATGCTCTACAATCAGTGAGACCCCTGCATTAGTGAAGTGGGTTGATCTCCCCAAAGAGGGAGTAGGGTGTAGAAGTTAGTCATTCCTCACTGTTATCACCATGTTGAGAAAACCTGCAAGCTAGGCAGAGGTGCAGCAGAACTGTGAGTACATTAAAAGAGAACTATGGGGTCAGGGCTTTTCCTCATAGTTCTCCTTCTCCACAAACTAGTGTCCTCCCGTCACCTAAAGCTCAGTATACCGCGAGCTACAGCTCGCGGTATACTGAGACGCCGCAGTATACCGCGAGCTACAGCTCCGCC